TCCTAGGGCACAGATGTGAGCCCTGATAGACTTGGCCCTGGCCCCACAGGCTGGTGGGACTACCTGCTCTGGGAGGAAAGCCCTCTTCCAAGCCCTGGCCCTCCACACAATCAGAGCGCAGGTGGACAGACATTCTCCCTGAGGTCATGGCCCTGGGACCTTTCTTTTCCCCTCATGCTCTTCTTCTCATAAATTGGCAGGCTGCCCTTGATATTGTTCACCATTCGTGAAATCAAAGGTTAAAAGGCAGTAGTTCACAGTAGATTTTCAAAACCAGCCTGCTGCCTTGTTGCAATGCAGAGGCTTTACCCATCCTGTGGGGCCCGCTGTGGGGACCTACATCTTTGCCACAACCCGTCCTCCTGGCAATGTGCACCCTGTTCATTTTAGTCCAACCATGTTCTTCTCTAACACTAAATCTCCGAATTTTTCCTAAAGTACTCACTGTACCTAAAACAAATTTCCTACCTCTGAAGCTTTAAAGTATAACATAAGATTGGCTGGAACACTGGGATTCTGCAGATTTACGAGCGCATGTGATAAAAGCTCCAAAAAGTCTAGACTTCAAAGTTTTCTGAGTCAATCTTTAAGTAAAACTCAAACTCCAGAATGATGTGCTGTGTTCAGTCTGTGGCTTCAAGTATCCCCTCGTAGAGCACCACATACTCCCAAGATCTACACACTCCAGTCTGAGAAGCATAACCCCAGGTAACTTATCAAATAAAGCTACAAACTCTTTTGTATGGTTCAATAGCACACACTAAACACATTTGTGGACTTCCTAAATTTTATCTTTTCAAAAAGTTATTCCAAAACCTGTGAGCAAAATTAATATGACAGAAGGTAGTTTTTATCTGTTACGAAACAACAAAGTGTGAGAATTGGACTGTGAAAAAAGCTGAGCGCCAAAGAACTGATGCTTTTGAATGTGGTGTTGGAAAACTCTTGAGAGTCCCTTGGACTGCAAGGAGATCCAACCAGTAGCAATTCTGTAGTCATGAGTCACATTACTGATTTGAATTAAGTAGGAAAAGGCATGTCTAAAAATAGTAAGATTCTTGAATTACAGAATTTTGGAAAGAAATGTGATTAATTTTATTTAGCTCCAATTGCACACAGTAACCAGAATTAAGCCTCAATGGGTTAGCCCAATAGAGCAGCTTTAAAGTGATGGTGGAGATGAATTGGATTTATGCTAGGAATTTGTTCCTGGAGACTAATCTTCACCAGGAGCAGGCATTTCCGTTTAACATCTAAAGTGGCACAGATTCCATTCACCAGGACTGCCAAGTTAAACAATTCTTTAAATTTTTTTTTCAATTTATGGGGGTAATTATTATTTCAAATATTGTGTATAAATGAGATTTTATTGTTACCTTGTATGTTACCATTTCAGAGTCACACAATTCAAGTTTTCATAAAGTGTGAACATACTGCATATGACATATTTAAAGTCAATGAAAATAGTGATTCTCCTAGGTTCTTAGTCCAGTGTTAATTTGCTTAATGATCCCCTCCTCTGCAGATGAATCAGAGAGAGGTATGAGTTTGCCTCCATCTGTCCATCCAACGTTGAAGAACACTTCCCAGCAGAGGAAGAGCCTGCATTATTGACAGTGCCCAGAGTCCCTGGTGGTAAGCAACAACCAGGAGAAAAGAGCGTTCTCACAGCCAGCAGACCAGCTCAGGGACACCCTGCCCACAGCCCACATACCATTCCTTCACCATAGACATGACGGGAGCCACGGTGAACAGAAACCGCGTTCCCAAACAGACGACGGCCCTGGCAACTGACAGAGGTGAGCCCACTGCTGAGAATCACCAAATGTCTGAGAAAATTCTGTAGCGGAAAAGCAAGGCACCAACTCTACAGCAGAAGAACAATCACATAGAGAAACCACATATAGAAAGAAAAGCCAGTGTTTCCAAAACGAGATGCTAATTTTCTTTAGCAGGAGAAAGAAGGATATCACACCGATAAACAAGAATATACATTTTTTTTTCATTTCCTACAAATGAAAAAGTAAAATTGTAAAAGTTAAGAATTTAAAAGTGAGGTGATAGAGAATACAAAAAAAATAAAAAAAGAAGAAAAAATCCAAAAACATCTAGGACAAAAGCGTAATTCCTAAGAAGAAATAAGGTTCAGATAGACCCTGGTGTCTCTTCAGCAACACTGCATACAAGGAGACAATGAAGCAGTATCTTCACAGTGATGAGAGAAATGATTTTTTAACCTAGAATTCTATACCTGGCCAAATGGTCATTTAACTGTGAAGGCGAATGAAAGCTTCAGAAAGCTCCTCAGTCTTGAGCTCTCTCTAAAAAATTGTTAATGACGATTACCAGCAAAACTAAAAGAGAACGCAAGAAACAGACATAAGTATAAGAAACAGTGATGAGCCAAGAAAGAAATACAACTTATAGATAAGCTTAAGTAAATGCTGATCATGAAAATAATTAACAACCCAGAATGGAATTATGGGTAGATCTCAACAATTAAAGTGCTAGGAGAGTAGGAAAGGCAAAGTAAAAGTGTGCTAAGGGCGCTGCCTGAGCAGAAGAGGGCCAGACAAGCAAGAGGGAAGAAGATTAGATGTTGAGAAAAAGCACAGATGAGCTTAAATATCTGAATTATATCACAGAGAAGTGTTTACACCTTGAGAGAGAAAATAAAGCAGCAAAAACAACAACAAAGAGGACAAACAAACAAACAGCAAGAAAGGAAAAAAAATAGAAAACATGATAAATGGAAAAAAAAACAGAGAAGAACAATTGCTCCAAACACTATTACAGTAACTATAATAAATATAAATAGGTTAAAGTAATTAATTAAATATCAGGGACTCTTGAGTTTGGCTAAAAAGGCAAAAGCCACCTATATTTTATTTACCAGACCTATATTTAAAAACAAAATGACACAGGGCAGCTGAGTGAAGAGACTGAGAAACAGAAACTAGATAAAGGCCAACAGGGCGGGGGGGAAACAAACAGCAAAAACAGTTTCAGGAAAGTTGGGATGCAAGAAGAAAAGTATTAAAAAGGACAGTGAGGAATGTTTCCTATTGATAAATGATATAATTCACTTGAGCAACCTTGATAAGGACTTGAGCATCCTGGATAACAAAGTTCTTGCCTGTTATTTTTGAGATCTTGTCATCATCAAGTCGGGTATCTCTGTCAGGTCAGTGAACAAAACAAATAAATCCTCAGCCTTCATGGAGCTTTTGTTCTGGCAGAAGGCTGACAAGCAAAAAAAAAAAAAAAAAAAAAAAAAAAAAAAATAGTAAGGAAACTATATAGGATCAGATGCTAAAACAAATATATAGGGAAGGGTGTCAGGGAACACAGTTTCAAGTCGGGTTCTAAGAACAGATGGCCTGACTGAGAAGGGGATACGTGAGCAAAGGCCTTAAAAGAGCTCAGAAAGCAAGTAGGCACATTTCTGAAGAAAGAGAATTCCAGGCAGAGGGCACAGCAGGAGCCGGAGTGGGAAGTGGGCTCAAGATGGGAGAGGTAGTCAGTAACGGGGGGAATAAATAGACATCCATGGAGCACAAACTGATGTCCCCTCCCCACGTGACTTTAGGACATCACAAAATAAAACACACGAGATGAGCTACCTGAAAAATGATACAACCTGAAACATTACTAAAAAGAACAGAATTTTAGAAATGTGTGACACTCAGTCAAGGAGACCTGGATTTAGTCCAGAGATATGCTACTAGATTGTGACTACAACTAAAATAGCTTAAACCTATTCAATTATATCTTACCAACTGTGATGGAAGACAGTATAAAAAGAGAAGGGCTTAAGTTCAGGGATCTAACGGCATGGTGATTGTAGCTAATAATACTTTTACATGTACCAAATACTTAAATGTTGCTAAGAGAGCAAATCTGAAATGTTCTTAGCACAAGAAAGAAATGGGAACTATGTGATGAGATGGACGTGGTAGCTGGTACTATGGTGATAATCATTTTGGTGACATCATTTATAAATGTGTCAAAGCAACACATATACCTTAAATTTACACAATGTCATATGTCAATTATATCTCCATAAAGCTGGAAAAAAAAAAGAGAGAGAGAGAGAGAGAGAAGGGCATGGTTTGTGTGCTTTTCATGAAACAGGCACTTAGGAGACAATATGTGTTGATATATTTCCGGCAAGGTTGTGGTTGAGAAGGCACTGATCAGTAGACTTGAAAAGTGAGTTTGTTCAGCAGATGTATTTTTCATTCTAGTCATAAAGATAGAAGTACCTGGGGATACTTAGATCACTAAAATCACCCAATGATTTCAGGAGCAGAAAGCCACCTTATCAGTAGTGGTTTCCCATAGACTCCCTATAGGAGTGGGTGCCCATCTCAGGACTTGAGCATCCAGTACCAAGGAGACTTCACCAACACAGATTAATAAAACGGCACTCGGATTTATTCACAATTATTTATTCTCAGGTGAGTTTGGTTTGAGTAGTCAGCAGCCCAGAACCACCTGGATATGCAGAAACAAAAGGGACCTAAGTGAAGAGCCAAGTTTTGAAATAGAGTTATTACCTTGAGGGTAGAGTTGGGTCAGTCAGACTTAGACCTCCCGGGTGTCACAGTCCTCCATCCGTCTAACCACAGGCGTGAAATACTGTACTGAGCAAACAGCACTGGACTTCACAGTTAGACAACCATCGGGGACTTTGCCACCACTAGCTACCAACCCTGAGCAGTGCTACCTGGTCTCTTCAATCCTCAGAGATTTACATATCTTTCAAAATGGGAGTAGTAACAGCTATTCTATCCATCTCACCGGTTTGTTTTGAGACTCAGTATCTAAATCTAAAACAAACAAGCTGTAAGAAGAGAAAGTATTAGTGCTACCATCAACGCATGCCCTGCAGCCTAAGTATATAATTGATAGACTGGAGCGCATTACCACAATTATCTGAGAATTGAAGGCAAGATGAAAAACCACTAACCCACTGAACAAAATATAGGAAATCCTACCTCTCAGCAACTGGTTTGGCAATGTTTTCAAAAATGGTCTCTTGCTTTGCATCCTGATCAAAAATCCTTTGAAATCTGCAAATGTGAAAACAGTAATTATTTAAAAGCTGAGCCTTCAAACACTATTGGATTAATCCATTTTTTTCCTCCTAAAAGCTCTGTAAATTACCCCATATTTACATCATTAGGCTTACCTAACCTAACACAATGTTTGCCCTGTAGCCCCAAATACACTGAGCTCTTGTACCCCTGTATACAAATGGTGGGTAAACAGTATTGCTTTGACAAGATCTGCACAATAAATCCCTCTGAAAAACTGCAGCAGCTTTGAACCAAATAATAAACTGTGTGTTTTTTAGCTCTCAAGAGGGACAGTGTCTGCAATTGGCATCAAATTCAGATCGAGATTAAGTGCATGAAATGAAAACCCAAGAACAGGACGTAAACAGCCAAAGAACTTCTGATGTCTGACCTGTAAGAAAAACATGCAGCTGTGAAATGCATATTATTGAACTTAGTTGTAATGTTTTGAAGTTTATCTTCCATTAATTACTGCATCCTAGGTTCAGCTACTTAACTCTCAGGATAGTTTGTATCATTTTGTTGCTCAAAGTCAAAAGTCAAACAGTACATTAAAATAGAGCTGTATTGTAAAGGAAATCTTGATCTGACTGGCACAGCGGGGGGACTGGGGAGACAGGATGGTGGCCACAGCGCCCTTATTGCAGTGGCATCTGACTTAGCTCAGGGCAGGATCATAAGCACTGCGAGACACCTGGAGGAGATGCACTGTGCTGTGCTGAGTCGCTTGGTCGTGTCTGACTCTCTGCGACCCCATGGACTGTAGCCCGCCAGGCTCTTCTGTCCATGGGGATTCTCCAGGCAAGAATACTGGAGTGAGTTGCCATGCCTTCTTCCAGGGGGATCTTCCCAACCCAGGGACTGAACCCAGGTCTCCCTTATGGCAGGTGGATTCTTTACTGTCTGAGCTACCAGGGAAGCCCTGAAAAGATGCACAACCCACCCTTATACAGTCTGTTTACTCACTACCACCAAGTATGGCCCCCATTTCAAACATCATGCAGAGAGAGGCAGCAAGACAAATGGTGGAAGGAAAGGTGAGAAGCGGGGAAAAGACAAGGAGAAGGCGGAGAGACAGAGAGAGAATATAAGTGTACAGGGCAAAATGTTAATAATTGGTGACGCTCCCACAAAGGGTAGAGGAGATTTGATTACATTATTCCTCCATTTCTTCTGCATATTTAGAAGTTTTCGAAATAAAAATTGAGAGGGGGAGGATTTTAGAGCAAAGCCTTTGAAACATACACGTCCAAAGCAGCTTTCAAAGTGGTGTGTGTGTCTGCCCACACAAGTGAATTGGGCACGAGTTCAATTAAAGTAGAGATGACATGAAATGTAGGTTTGTTTTCACTACTAAGGAGCTCAGAAGGATGTCTGGAGCTGGATTGGAAATATAAAATGGAATGAATTTCACTGTCTTTCAACAACATTCATTTCAAAAGATTCCTATAGCATAACAACCACCCTCTTGAAGAAGCAAATAATGAAACTATATATAAAGAGAGATTGTAAGGCACTCTGGGTACTCATTTAGCAGACAGGATTATAATTTAGCAATATTTACTGAGTGTGCCCAGAACACTCCTCGAAACCCCAAAGGTGTTTGAGGGCTTCAGATATGAATATTGAGATAACGCGGCTGCTCAACTATTCTTTGGAGAATTGCCCACTGTGATGTCTAAGCAGGGACCCAGTGGTGCTTTTCAGTGATGACGATGCTTCTGAGGTTGTTTTGATTCTTTTACCAAATTGGTGATGACTGAGTAAATGAATTAGTCATTCCCAACCCCACTTTCTTACACTTCCCTGGGGGCTCAGATGGTAAGCAATCTACCTGCAATGCAGGGGACCTGGGCTTGATCCCTGGGTCGGGAAGATCCCCCTAGAGAAGGGAATGGCTACCCACTCCAGTATTCTTGACTGGAGAATCCCATGGACAGAGGAGCCTGGTGGGCTACAGTCCATGGAGTCACAAAGAGTCAGACATGACTGAGGGACTAACATACATACACAACCCCACTTCCTTAAGGGGAATGACATCTACCACTGTGTAAACCAAAGAGATGGGAGGAGGTTCAATAAAGCATACATTGTGCACTAAACATCAAATATCATCACTCTCAAACACCTTATTTTATATAACAGAGCTATATAATAATCTGGAAATTCATTATGATCAGCTGTCTTCTGAAAGCCACTAAAAAGCAAAATAAAATCATAGAGTTTAAGAGGTTTAATCTAATCCTTTCCAGAGGAAGAAACGGAGGCCTGGAGAGAGAACTCAATTTACTCCTGGTCCTGGAGCTAATCTACAGTGTGCCTTGAGACATAACTTAGGTTTCCTGATTCCAAGCAGGTCCTTTCATTTATTAGGAGGTCATGGTCATTCAGTCGTTCAGTCATGTTCGACTCTTTGCGACCCTATAGAGTGCAGCATGCCAGGCTTCCCTATCCTTCACTATCTCCCAGAGCTTGCTCAAACTAGTGTCCGTTGAGTAGGTGATGCCATTCACCATTTCATCCTCTGTTGTCCCCTTTTCCAGCCTTCAATCTTTCCTAACATCAGGGTCTTTTCCACTGAGCCTGCTCTTTGTAACAAGTGGCCAAAGTTTTGGAGCTTCAGCTTCAGCATCAGTCCTTCCAATGAATATTCAGGGTTGATTTCCCTTAGGAGTGACTGGTTTGATCTCCTTGCTGTCCAAGGGACTCTCAAGAGTTTTCTCCAGCACCACAGTTTGAAAGCATCGATTCCTCAGTGCTCAGCCTTTTTTATTGCCCAGCTCTCACATTCATACATGACTACTGGAGAAACCATAGCTTTGACTATATGGACCTTTGTAGGCAAAGTAATGTCTCCATTTTTTAATACACTGTCTATATCTGTCATAGCTTTTCTTCCAAGGAGTAAGCGTCTTTTAATTTCATGGCTGCAGTCACCATCTGCAGTGATTTTGGAACACAAGAAAATAAAGCCTGTCACTGTTTCCATTGTTTCCCCATCTATTTGCCATGAAGTGATAGGACCAGATGCCATGATCTTTGTTTTTTAAATGTTGAGTTTTAAGCCAGCTTTTTCACTCTCCTTTTTCACCTTCCTTCATCAAGAGGCTCTTTAGCTCCTCTTCACTTTCTGCCATAAGAGTGGTGTCATGTGCATATCTGAGGTTATTGATATTTCTCCCCACAATCCTGATTCCAGCTTATGCTTCATCTAGCCCAGAATTTCACATGATGTACTCTGCAGGTAGCAACAGTTAGAACTGGACATGGAACAACAGATTAGTTCCAAATAGGAAAAGGAGTACGTCAAGGCTATATATTGTCACCNGAGGAAAAGGGGACAACAGAGGATGAGATGGTTGGATGGCATCACTGACTCGATGGACATGAGTTTGAGTAAACCCTGGGAGTTGGTGATGGATAGGGAGGCCGGGCCTGCTGCAATTCATGGTGTCGCAAAGAGTCGGACACGACTGAGCAACCGAACTGAACTGAACTCTGCATATAAGGTAAATAAGCAGGATGACAAATAGCTTTGACATACTCTTTCCCAACTTTGAACCAGTCCACTGTCCATGTCCGGTTCTAACTGTTGCTTCTTGACCTACATACAGGATTCTCAGGAGGCAGGTAACGTGGTCTGGTATTCCTTTCTCTTTAAGAATTTTCCAGTTTGCTGTGATCTACACAGTCAAAGGCTTTAGCATAGTCAATGAAGCAGAAGTAATGTTTTTCTGGAATTCTCTAGCTTCTCTATGGTCCAACAGACATTGGCAGTTTGATCTCTGGTTCCTCTGCCTTTTCTAAATCCAGCGTGTACATCTGGAAGTTCTTGGTTCACATACAGTTGAAGACTGGCTTGAAGGATTTTGAGCATTACTTTGCTAGCATGTGAAATGAGTGCAGTTGCGCGGTAGTTTGAAGATTCTTTGGCATTGCCCTTCTTCGGGATTGGAAGATTGTGTAGGATTTTCCTACACTCCATTTCAAATGTGGTATATGCTGATTACTTCTCATGCCAAACCGGCTTCTTCTGGTCTTCTCCATCCTGGTAAGTGCCAACTCTATCTTTTTCAAAGTTCAGTCCAAAATCTTAGAATATATGCTTGACTCCTCTCTTTCCATTATACTTTATCCAACCCATCAGCAAACTCTGCTCGCCTGACCTTCAAAATACATGCAGCAGAACCCAATTACTTCTCAACATTTCCACTCACTACTACTCTGGCCCAAGCAACCATAATCTCTTGCCTGGTGTCCCTTGGCCCCCTTACAGTCCATTATCTACACGTTGGCAAGAATGATCCTGCTAAAACATAAGTGAAATTAGTCCAGTCTCCTGTTCACAACCCTCCATTACCTTCCCTGAGCACCTCGGGAAAAGCTCCAAAGGACCTGGCCACTCTGCTGCCCCTTAGCCTTCGTCTCCCTCCAGCCCTCTTGCTCACTCTCCTCTAGCCACACACATTCCTTGTGCTTCTTCAAGCAAGCCAGGCACTCTCTCATCCCAGGAACTTCATTTTTGCTCTATCCTGATCCTGGAATTCCCATTCCTCACACAGCAGAGTGTCTGGTTTCCTTACCTCCTTCAAGTTTCTGTTAAAATGTTCACCTTCCCTGAAGCCCCTGTGAAAAACTGCAGCCATGCCTCCAGTCTGCTGCCCCTCATCCCAGCAGTCCTTATTCCCCTTTCCTTAACGTATTTTCCTCCATGGTACTCAAGCTTTCTGACACACACACACTGCCCATTTATCTTCTCCCACTAAAGTGCAAGCACCTGAGAGCAGAAATTTGGTGCATCCCTTGCTGTATTCCCACCATGAAAGCAGCATACAGTGGATGGGTAATACAGATTCACTGACTGCATGAATTTTCTTGGGTGAAAACAGCCTTTAAAATGCTTAAATATTTTATCTCTGAACATACATGATTTCCTAATTTCTTTATTTAAAATACTAAAGCCAATATTTTTTTGTTTCTATCATCCTATAGGTGACACAAATTGAAAGCTAGTCCTATTCTCTGACTTCTGGGGATAACATAATGGAAATTGGAAAGCTCAATGGATGTTGGGAAGCTCATGAAGAAAAAAAAATCCCTTAATTTTACTTTTCCAAATTTAATCTTATTTCATGTATATGGATCATACTATACACTCTCTATTTGTAACTGAATTTAATTCATTCAGCAATGTAATCAGATATCTTCCTATGAAAATAAATCTTACTTTATTACATCAAATAAAATAAAGATTTTTAATTCAGATTTTTAGAAAGAATAATCAAGAGATTTAAAAATAAGCAAACAGCACTTTTTCAATAAGCGTATGTGAAAATACACTGTTTATATCTGCATAACATACAGAATACTTTGGAAATGGCCAAGAGATAGGGACATGGCCAACTGTTTCTTAGCAATCAAACAGAATCAAGCTGAATACAATGTTTTAGGAAATTGTGGCTTTGTGGAGACAGGCCTAGCCCAGCTGTCATTAAGTCATAGCTAGTAAGGTATGTTGCATGCTTATACCAATGGGAGAATGCCCCCTTCAGAAAAGTAAATCGTGTATTATAAGGCTACTCCTTAAAGGACAGAATATAAGGCAATGAGGAGCCACAAAGACAAGGTTAGACCCACCTCACCATGCAACCATGGGCTAGTCGTTCTGCTGTCCTTACTATAAAAGGCGACACAAGACAGATGTGGAGGTGGCGGGAGAGATAACCATGATAGACACAAGGGGGGGAGTTGTGAAGACCAAAGAGAATCTTTATCAGACAAAGTTGTCATCATCATCATCATCATCATGAGGAGGGAGGAGAAACATGAAGTAGAGAAAGAGAAACACAAAAAAGTATCTGAGGTGGTTCTATCCATGGGCAAGAGCAGGAACAGTCTCAAATTAAGGCCCATGCAGAACAGCCTACAGAGGAACACAAGAGAGCAATTAGGACGCCTTCAGCAGGACCATACATAGTCGCCCAGTCGTGTCCAGCGGTTTGTGATGCTATGGATTGTAGCCCGCCAGGCTCCTCTGTCCAAGGAATTTTCCAGGCAAGAATACTGGAGTGGGTAGCCATTCCCTTCTCATTTGGCCCAGAGATTAAATATGGGTTTAACTCGGGCTCAAACTTCTCCAGAAATTAAAAGTGGGGATTAAAAGAAATTATGCCATCTGAAACTGGAGAATAAAGACAATATGGAATGGCTGTAATCTCCAAATTTAAGGCCTGCCTACCAGGAGAGTATTTTGACCAAAGGCACTGATGACAATCCAGGAGTGGCTGAATGTTGCTTTTCCCCTGAATCTTGCAGTTCAACACTGTGCCAGAGAATAAAATGCAACCCATAAGTATGAGTATATACGTAATTTAAAATTTTTACTAGCCACATTTTTTAACTGAAATGAAACAGGTGAGCTTAAATTTAATAATATATTTTAGCACAATATATTCAACATTTTGTCACTTTACTGTGTAATTAATATGAAAAGAATTATTGAGCTATTTTATATTCTTTTTTCAGAGTACTCTTTCAAAAACCCTTGATATATCTCATAATCACAGCACATCTCAATTCAGACTAGCTCCATTTCAAGTGCTTAGGAGCAACATGTGGCTAGCGGCTGGTACCATAGACAGTACAGGCACACAGTGTACATAACAATCCAGGAGTGGCTGAATGTTGCTTTTCCCCTGAATCTTGCAGTTCAACACTGTGCCAGAGAATAAAATGCAACCCATAAGTATGAGTATATACGTAATTTAAAATTTTTACTAGCCACATTTTTTAACTGAAATGAAACAGGTGAGATTAAATTTAATAATATATTTTAGCACAATATATTCAACATTTTATCACTTTACTGTGTAATTAATATGAAAAGAATTATTGAGCTATTTTATATTCTTTTTTCAGAGTACTCTTTCAAAAACCCTTGATATATCTCATAATCACAGCACATCTCAATTCAGACTAGCTCCATTTCAAGTGCTTAGGAGCAACATGTGGCTAGCGGCTGGTACCATAGACAGTACAGGCACACAGTGTACATATGCACGTGTGAGGTCACTATTCCTTTTATGTTATTAAGAGAGCTCACCTATTCAGCATCCAGATTGTTCCTTAAGTTGTCATCTTTAATACATTTTAGTCATGCATTAAATGTCCTAAAAGTGGGCCAAAAAGGAAAAGATAACACTTGATAAACAGATGTAATTTTTTTTTAAAAAGGGTAGGATCTTAGGATATCCTCTTGGATACAGAAATATACCCCCTTTATAATGCCTGGCACAGCAGTGAAAAGACAACGTGAATTCTATTTACTAGATAAGATAGAGAACTGTACTACATTCTCCCCAAGAAATGATACCAATGATTTCACAGTGGATATTAAAGCAGTACAAGAGTGACTTCAATAGTAAAACAGAACTGAAGATGAAAAAAGGAAAGCTTACTTAAATCTGTAGCTTTCTCGCTTATTATTCACAAATCCATCTGCCAAGTCACGAGGTAATATGATTTCCAAGCTAGGTGTTAATTTTTCATCTTCATCTATGGAATAAATCTGCAAATATGAAGACAATAAATGAACATAAAATGATAAAATTACAACTTGAACAATGACCATGTTATTATGACATGTTTTGTAATAGTATTTTAACAACTGTACTTTTCAGATAAAAAGTCATAACATAACACAACTTGGATAATTTTCCTGTTTAAACTCTGAGCACACTCAAACAAATATATGGAACTGAACAAAAAATAAAACCTAAATCAATGCCTGATCAAAGCTCAGATCCTCTTTGAATGATCTAATACTCAAATTTGAGTCTTTGAGTGTCTGTCTCCATTGTTGAGAAAGTAATAGCCCTGACAACAACATATTCTCTAAGTATTGCTTTGGAATTATGTGCCAGAAATTAACATTTTACTACAACCAATAAGCATTTCTCAGCATTTACAAAATGCTAGACACAGAGATGAAAGGCCTGGGTCTGAGCCTTCTCAGAGAGCTCACAAGAATGCCCTAATTCAAGTTATGTTCAAAGAAGCCCGAGTTTCCATGAGACATATTTAAGCATTTGATAAAAGACATGTGGTTTCAAAAGACACATGTAATTCACGTCTTTGATGTCATTTTCTAGGTTCTCCTCCCAGTTCAGCCACTAATTAGAAAATGACCTGAGAGAAATCACTTAACCTCTTTAAGCAGATAGGGAAATGAAGGGTCTTAACCAACCCCTTTTACAACTGTAATATTCTGATTTTCTTCTTGGTTATCTACCCCTTTATTTATTGTCCAGGAAAAGCAAGAGTCCAGTCTATAAACAGATCATAGGGAATAAACAGAAGTCTACAATTTGATGTCCAAAGACCTGGGTCTAACACTGATCTCAATTTACCAGCTGTGTGACCAGTCACCACTTTTAGCATCTCAGTACATACATAAGATGAAGAAAACAGAATCGCCTCCATTACAAGATTGCTGTGGGGATCAAATGATGTCATGGAAATGGAAGCATTTTGTAATGCACCATAAAAAATGTTAGTCATTAGGTTTAGAGGTTTTTAAAAAAGACTTCTTGTCTTTCACCAAGGAATAAAATTCTTTCTAACAAGCAATACTTCCTGTTTAAGACCCATTTAGATGCTTGATTATGGGGGGAAAGTCATATTCTGAAATAAGTAAAAAGCCTACCTAAATCTCCAGAAAGTCTGAATAATTTTCCTAAGCAGATTTTTATTGAGCTCTCTCATTTAAAATGTGAGGAATTCATGTAAGAAAAGTCATGCTGTAAAATAAAATTATTCATAGAAAGTTATGGCATCAGGTCCAAGGCTTTCTGGTTAGATTTTCTCAAGAGACATTTAAAAATTATATTCTATTGGGCACTACATTGTTTTCTTAAAAAGGTTAATGGTTAGACAGGTGAGTGAAAGGGTGAGTAAGACAAAAAAGCGTACAGGAGTGAGGGATGCCATACATTTTTTAAAAACCTGTAACAGTACTCAGAAGACAAAAAGGGCCAGTAACTATTAACAAAGTAGGAACAGTGACTTTCCACTCCTCTCATTAAGCCATTCTTTGAGGCATTAAGAAAAGTCCACAACAAGAAAACTTGTTTAGTCTAATAGACTGGCTTTCTACTGTTAGTCATAAAAATATTTGAGATGGAGCTGTTCTTTAATAGGAGACAATTAAACCAAATGCAAGGATGAATATGAAGATATTTCAAAATATACAAAGCACTATGCAAATGAAAAGCACTGCTACTGTTAAAATTATCACAGAGGGTCATCTTATGTATCTTTTAACATATTAATCTATAAATTATCATCATTTAATTTATAGGGTCTCAGGGAGTATGATTAATGAAGTAACAGAGCCACAAAATAAAGAAGAAAAAAAAATACTTTGAGTCACTCTTAGTTTAATGCTACAAGGGGTATATCTAATCAGAGAAACAACCACACAATCTTTAGGAGCAAAAGAACAGGGTGCTAACAGTGGGATTTCTAAGGAAGGGTAGGGATACACTAATTCAAAAGTCGTTCATCTGTGTTCTGTGATTTTTCTGTACATGGCATAATGTTGCAACTCAGTAAGACTCTGGCATTATTAAAGTACAATATGATACCTAAAAATATTTCATGGAGTAGCAAACAAGACACTCCACAGAATCTCACAGAAGAAATGCAAAAGAAGGCACATTTAAAAAATACAAAGATTGCACTTTAAGGAAAGAAGTTCAAGTTAAATCCAACGTTCTCTATCAACTCCCCACCTCGGTCCCACCTGTATCCATCCTGTCACATGATCACATCCAAGCACCTGTTTCTGACTGCTGAGTCAATATAGACAGGTTCAGTATTTTTAGCTAAGAATCTGGGGGTGGGAATGGGGGAAATTGTGGGTGTGGGGGTAATTTTTATATGTGATGTACTTAAAAAAAACCTTGTAAGTGAATGTAAGAGGAGAAAAAAAGGGAAGATACTCAATGGTTGCTTTCCATACTCTATATTCCTTAAATTTTTAAAATGCCACACTTACGAGTGTTTTCATGCATCTTTTCCTAACCATATTCCATGAATGAAAAGACTGAAGATGAAAACAATGACAAGACACTATATTCTCCTTGTTTTAAATATATAAATTTACATGAAGCAAATCTTAAATTATGAGCTGCTATGATATTACATGGACTTCCCTTGTGGCTCAGCTAGTAAAGAATCCGCCTGCAAGGAGGGAGACCTGGGTTCGATCCCTGGGTTGGGACGATCTCGTGGAGAAGGGAAAAGCCACCCATTCCAGTATTCTTTCCTGGAGAATTCCATGGACTCTATAGTCCATGGGGTCGCAAAGAGTCAGACATGATTGAGCGACTTTCACTTCACATGATGTTACATGGGCTTCCCAGGTGGCTCAGTAGTAAAGAATCCACCTGCCAATGCAGGAGACAGAGATACTGGTTTGATCCCTGAGTCAGGAAGATCCCCGGGAGAAGGAAATAGCAACAGACTCCAGTATTTGTGTCTAGGCAATCCCATGGAGAGAAGAGCCTGGTGGGCTACAGTCCATGGGGTTGCAAAAGAGTCAGACACGACTTATGACTAGACAACAGCAAACGTTGTTACATATATACATACACTCTTTGTAGATAATGGAGTAGAGATAAAAATATTATTAAAAATATACCCATTCCAGAAACTCATGAATATGACTCAGATGGCCATTGCCTATATCCTTATTTTCTGAGGCAGAAAGGTTTTGTCCCAAAAGCTTTGGAATAAAAAAATCCTTAATTAAAATCAGGGTTCTGCCACTCACCAGGTGGCTGGCTGAACCAAATTATTTCACCTGTCTGAGACTCAGCTTCCTCATCTATAAAATGAGGAAAACATCAGCCTTGCAGGGTTTTCATGAAACTCGGGGATAATGCATACAAAGGATCTAAGTGGTAAGAATGAATACGCTCCTTCCCAAGGAAAGAAAACAATGTTTTGAAACATCTGAGGAGCATTCAAAGTATTTCTGCTCAGAGTAGGATCATGCCTTAGCCTCCTTTGTACACTTCTGAGCTTAGCATCCTTGAGGAAACGCCAAGTAAATGCTCAGTTAATGTTTTCAGAATAAAAGGTATGTACATTCTTTGTCTAAGTTGCATACATACCTGTTTACATCTGCAACGAGTGTATGTCAACGTTTGTGTTCAGAATGACAATATAGTCAAAAAACCCTAAGGGCCCACTGCGCAAGAACCACCGTGTAGGCTTTGTGTGTCTCCATCTGTATCGATCATCCGTAACATCTTAGACGTGTGTAGACACTATCTCTGGCTTGCACGTTTTGCCCGAGGGTGAAACAGAAGTTTGAAAGCACCTGGGTGGGCAGAGCTGCGTGACTGTTTTCGAGAAAAGTGCAATAACGGCGCACAGCTGAGGCTAGCCTATGATCACGCATACACGCAGATGTACATCTGCGTGCACGGGTCTGCAGCTGCGTGAACACGTGTGTCCCGGAGTACACAGGTGGTTCCCTGCAGGTTAATTGGGGCCCGCAGGTCTGTCGGATGGAAACGGGCTGAGTGCCTGTCTGTCCGCGCCCCCTGACAGCAAAGTGTTGGCGTCTGTGGGCTGCTTCAGTGCTAGAACCGAGTGTGCTGGACGCCTGGCCGCATCCCGCGCTGGGCGCCGAAGCCCTCACCCGGGCCGGGGACCCTCGCGTGCCGCCCCTCCCCCGGCCTGAGAGGCCCCGCCGCGCCGGCGCCCGTGCTGCTCCGACCCGTACCCCTTGCTGCTGCTTCCGGACAGTGGGCTTCACCCTGGCGAAAATTTGGATCGTCTGCTTCACCATCTCCTTCTCGGCTCTTGCACTGACCCTTGACCTCTCTCAGGCACTGGCTCCCAAAACTTCTGACTACCACGGCCTCAGGCAAGCCGTAGCCTTGGCAACAGTAACTAGGGACACTACCCATGGAGCACCGCGCCAACCAGGACCGCCTCCTCTCCCTAATTGGTTGCTGACAGGTGGGAAGGCCCGGAGGGAGGGATTAGGACGGGGGCGGGGCCTGGGCGGGGCCGAGGACTGGGCGGGGCCACGCGGAGAGAGCTGCGCGTGCGCGTGGTCACGTCTGACCCCTGGCTTAGTGCCAAAGCTAGACTGGAGAGTGGTTAATGGAGTGACAACCGTTATACCTTGCCCGTTCTCTAATCCATTCTTTCTCTCTGCCAACACCTCTTTTTAGCACTGAAGTTCTGTTTTTTATTATTCATTTATTGAAAAGATGGCACTTGATTTGTGACAGCAATGTACTGCCTGGGGATTCTGAGCTAAGCAAAAACTTCCTGTGTCCACTTGGAGATTAAAGTCTGATAAAGGAGACAGAATTTTAATGGGAAATCACAAGTTAAGATGGGGTAAAGCCGAGTCCTGTGGAAGGGCACCTTATCTAGTTCTGTTTTGGAAGAGGCCAAAACTGGAGGAAGGGGGACTATTTCCCACGCAATAGTCCTGTCATGAAAGGATGGGCTCTGGTGTGCCCTGTTGGTGGGAATGTGGGTTGGTACAGTCACTATGGAAAACAGTGTGCATGGGCCTTAAAAAATTAAAAATAGAACTGCCATGTGATTCAGCAATTCTACTCCTAGGTATATATACAGAAGAATTGAAATCAGAGAGATAGTTGCACTCCCAAATGCACCAGAAATATTAACCAAGATATGGAACCAACCTAAATGCCCACTAATGGATGAATGGAAAAAGAAAATGTGATATATATATATTAATATTATTTTATATATTGTTTTATATCTATAGTGGGGGTGTATATGTATATATGTATATTATTCTGCCAAAAATATAAGGACATCCTGCCATTTTAACAACATGGATGGAACTGGAGGGTATTATGCTTGGTGAAATATGTTAGAAAAGACAAATACTGTATGGTCTCACTTACATGTGGAATCTAGAAAAGTTGAACTCATAGAAACGGAGAGTAGAATGGTGGTTTCCAGAGGCCAGGAAGTGGGGGAAATAGGGAAATACTGGCCAAAGGGTAAAAAGCTCCAGTTATAAGTTTTGGGGACTTAGCGTACAGCATGGAAACTTTGGTTATATAGTTGCTAAGAGAGTAAATCTTAAATGTTCTTACCAGGAAAAAAAGGAATTATGTGAGGTGATAGAGTTGCTGAGTGGCTTTATTTTGATAATCATTTCACAATATATGCATGATCAATTTATCACATCATATACTTTAAGCTTGTATGTCAGTTGTATCTCAGTAAATCTGGAAAAGAAGTAAATAAGAAAATAATAAAAAGAAAAGATGGAGTCTTCAAAAGACACTGTTAACCCATGAAAAGTTGTTCCACATGTATCCACCAAGGTGATACATGTTAAAAAAACCACAATGAGATATTGCTACATGGTTATCAGAATGGCTAAAATTAAAAATAGCCACAAAACAAGATGCTGACAAAGATATAGAGAAACTGAATCACTTGTGTATTACTGGTAGGAATGTAAAGTGTAAAACATATTGTGGATAATTGTACAATCACTCTAGAAAACCATTGAGTAGTTTCATACAAAACTAAAGATGCGGCTATTATAAAATTCAGTATTAATCCCAGAGAAATGAAAACATGTTCACACAAAAATCTATACATGAGCATATGTATGGCTAAGTCCCTTTGCTGTCCAAATGAAACTATTACAGTATTGTTAATTGGCTATACTCCAATATAAAATTAAATGTTAAAAAAATGCAGGAGACCCAGGTTCGATTCTTGGGTGGGGAAGATCCCCTGGAGAAGGGAACAATCCATTCCAGTATTCTTGCCTGGAGAATCCCATGTATAGAGGAGACTGGCAGGCTACAGGCCATGTGATCTCAAAGAGTCAGACACTAATGAATGACTGACACTTTCACTTTCTTTCATTAAAAAAAACACAAAAAACAGAAAGTGTTCATAGCAGCTTGAACATGGGTGTTCATAGCAGCTTCATTCATAGTAGCTCCAAGTTGGACAGAACTCATATGTCCTTCAACCACTGAATGGCCAGACAAACTGTGGAATACTATTCAGCAATTAAAATGAAGAAATTACTGACACATATAACTACGTGGATGAATTTCCAGGGAATTATGCTGAGTGAAAGGAATCAGACTCAAAAGTCAAATACTGTATGATTCTATTTATATAACATTCTTGAAATGACAAAATTATAGAGATGGAGAGCAGATTAGTGGTTGCCAGGGGTTAGAGAGGCAGAGTAGGGGGCGGTGGCTGTGGCTATAAAAGGATCTTTGTGATAGATTGTTCTTTATCCTGACCGTGGTGGTCACAGAAATCTACATATGTGATAGCACCACACAGGAGGAGACACACACACACACTCACTACATATAAACAGCTGAAAGTTTAGTAACATTGGATGAGATGGAGGGGTTGTATCCACGTTCATTCCTCAGTTATAATATTGTACTATAGTTATGCAAGGTGTTGCCAGTAGGAGGAACTAGGGGAAGAGGATGCCAGATCTCTCTGCATTATTTCTTGCAATTGCATGTGAATCTAGAATTATCTCAAAATAAAAAGCTTTAAAAAGAAACTCTTAAGAGAATGAAAAGGCAAACCACAAACTGGGAGAACAGTCTTGCAAAACACATACCTGATAAAGGACTTGCATCCAGAATACTTTGAAACTCTTCAAACCTAATAATAAATAGGAAAACAAACTACCCCATTTATTTTTATAAAGAAGGGTGTCAAAGATTTAAACAGACATTTTCCACTATAAGGGTGGCAGATACATGAAAAGATGTTCAACATAATTATAATTAAATAAAAATTAAAAACACAATCATTACACACCATTACACAACCTTTTAGAATGAATAAAAAGAAAATAAGTTGACACTAACAAGAACTGGCATGGATGCAGAGCAGTTGGAACTTTCAAACATAGCAGGAGAGGGTGCAAGATGGACCAGCCACTTTGCAAAACAGCTGTTGAGTTTCTTAAATTTAAAATTATATATATACTTACCATGTAACCCAGCAATCCTACAACTCAGCATTTACCTAAGGGAATTGAAAACTGATGTTCACACAGAAAGGTAAACAGGAATGATTATCATGGTTTTATTGACAATTGCCCAAAGCTGGAAACAAAGCAAATGTTCTTCAACTGCTGAATGGATAAACAAACTGGTATGTCCACACAATAAAAAGGAATTGACTGCTGATGACTGTAACAACATAGTTGAACCTCAAATTTATAATGCTGAGTGAAAGATGCCAGACTCAAAGTTACACACTTTAAAATTCCATTTTTATGACACTCTGGAAAAAGCAAGACTATAGGGATAGAATCACTGACCAAATTAGTGGTTGCCAAGGGCTTGGGGGTAGGGAAAGAGATTGACTACAGATGAGCATGGTAGTTTTTGGAGGGTGATGGAATCATTTCACATCTTGATTTTAGTTTTGATTACATGTACAGTAACATCGTAAGTAGTCATAATCGGATGTGCGAGTTGGACCATAAAGAAGGCTGAGCACCAAAGAATTGATGCTTTTGAACTGTGGTGTTGGAGAAGACTCTTGAGAGTCCCTTGGACTGCAAGGAGATCAAACCAATCAATCCTAAAGGAAATCAATGCTGAATCTTCACTGGCAGGGCTGATGTTGAAGCTGAATCTCCAATGCTTTGGCTACCTAATGTAAAGAACCAACTCACTGGAAAAGACCCTAATGTTGGGAAAGATTGAAGGCAAAGGAGAAGGAGGGGGAGGCTGAAGATGAAATGGTTAAATAGCATCACTGACTCAGTGGGCATGAATCTGAGCAGTCTGGGAGATAGTGAAGGAGAGGGAAGCCTGGAGTGCTGCAGTCTGTGGTGTCACAAAGGGTCAGACATAACTTAGTGACTGAACAACAACAACATTACTATGTACATTTGTCAAAAGTCGTGAAACTATCTATATACTTAAAAGGGTAAATTATACTGTATGTAAACTAGTATAAAAAAAGCAAAACAAAAATGAAAAATAGAGCATGGGGAATGAACAGGTAGGGCAGTAGCAAGGCTGGAGAAGAGGAGAGAACCAACTATGAAACAGATTTTAAGAGTTTTTTTCACCTGGTGCTAAGTGGAAAGGAAGAAATGACTCAAGATTGGGCTGTTACATTGTTTTTATATGTTGGTTCTTGTGAATCATGCTGCTGGGTACATGTGGATGCAGATGTCTCTTCAAGATACTGGTCTCATTTCCTTCAGGTTTATTCCCAGAAGTGGAACAACCTTTGTCCACCCAGAAATAAATGGTCAAAGGTGTTGTGGCATGTGTATATACAATGGAGTATTATTCAACCATAAAAAGATGGAAGTCATGATTTGTAATAACATAGATGAAGGTAAGTGAAATAAACCCCACAGAGAAGGACAAACACTGTATAGTATCATTTATATATGGATTTTTTTTTAAGTCAAACTTATAGAAACACAGAGTAGAATGGTGGTTACCCAGGACTGGGGTGGGGTGGGGGATGGAGAGATGCTGGTGAAAGTTTCAGTTATAAGATAAGTAAGTTCTGAGGACCTAATGGTACAGCATGGTGACTGTAGCTAATAATACTCTATTGCATACTTGGAATTTTTCTAAGAGGATAGATCTTAAGTGATCTCACCACAAAAAAATTTAAAAGTAGCTATATGAAGTGATGAATGTGTTAACTTGACTGTGGTAAATATTCCATGATGTATATCAATATTAAATCATCACATACCCCAGAAAGTGATCTAGTTATTCACAAGGAAGAAGGCTGCAAACATTACAGTTATGGTTGGTGGTGTAAGCGAGACTGCACAGGAGACTGGAGGAGCAGCTGAAGTGATGCTGTGAGGCAGAAAGGCAGATGCTGTCACA